CTTGCGCAAGCCCTACGTAAGCCATAAACCTTATAATGTAGCGCGTGCCGTCAACCCCCAACGAACCTACACCCAAACCCTCCCCAAGCCCTTGTCGACTCGAAGACTCATACCTTTTAGCCATAAACCCTAAAACCCAAAACTCAGAAGCTTAAGCTAAACCCTAAACCCTAAACCCCACAACCACGCCACAGAGGGAAGAGGAACCCCACCCCACACAGAAGGGGGGGTGGGCGGGCATCCTGGACCATAGGGGCGAAGGGGAGGGCGGGGCGGAGCGCCTGACCATATATAAGTACGGGTGCATGTCTGTACATGTATGTGCATACACACTTGCATGATGTGCAGAGAAAAATCTATGCATAACAAGAGAAGGCATAAGCACAGCAAGAGAACCAAACATGCGGCCGACGGAATGGAGACATGGAGGCGGATGGAGACATGGAGGTGGACAGCATAAAAATAGAAACCATGATCATTTAAAAGCAAGAAAGACAAAGACGAAAAAAACACCCGGTATCTATACATATACATACATATACATACATATATATATATGTACATATGTATGTGTATATATGTATATGCATGCATGCATGCATGGATGGATGCACGTGTGTATATACATACATGTATGTATGTATGTATGTATGTATGTATGTATGTATGTACGTACGTACGTATGTATGTATGTATGTATGTATGTATGTATGTACGTAGGCAGCTAGGTATACGTGCAAATATACATATATACACACATACATATATTAATTTATTTATAATTTATTTGTATGTATTCATATTCATATTTTTATTTATGTGAATGGATCAAGCGAGACAAATACTTCCTAGTGGATCTTCAGCTCAAAATCTATCTTCTGGATAGTCGTACATATTATCAACAGTACGGCTGGGTGAGAATGGCGACAGCAGCAATCACAAGCTTAGTGGCAGTTCCGGAAACAACCATCGAATAAGGCTCCTGAAGCCTCACCGGCTGCGCCAGCCTTCACGGCATTTTTCCTGGAACGCTGACGACCGACCGCTAAACCCTAAACCGTAAACCCTACAGAGGCTTCAAAAATTCTCCGCAGCAGCGACTCCTAGAAGCCTACATAGCCAGGAAGGGTAAGGGTTGGGGGTTGAGGATTTAGGGTACTGTAGGGGCCTAAATGATTACCAATACTATGTTGGGGGGTTCTTACTATAATTATAGTATAATGGACCCCAAAACCCTATAACTATAGTATAATGGACCCCAAAACCCTATTCTAATTATTCAGGACCCTATATTACCAATACTATTTGGGGGTTCCTTACTAAAATTATAGTATAATGGACCCCAAAACCCTATTCTAATTATTAAGGCCCTATATTACTGATTCCGGCGACGCTGCTGCACCTTTTGCTTCAAGGCGATACTGGCAGCTCACTCAAGCATGCGCAAGCCTGGGACAATCTAAGATTGCGTCCTGTAGCAGGCTGTGCAGACGTTGAAGCCTGCAGCAGCAATGCAAAGTTAATCGCATTGAACAAACGAGAATATCTGTGTCGAGTTCGCAGATCATCCTCCGCAAGCTATCTGGAGATGGACACATCTATTCTAAACTCTCCCTCCATCGCAATCTGGGAAGCAACCCTCACAGCCTCTGCAGCAATGCGGTGACCGTGTCACACAGCGCGCCTCCGAACCCCCAGCGATTGGGCGCGCAGGTCCGACACTGCCTTCAGGATGGCTGTATAGCTCACACAAAGATACTTGGAGGTTCATGGGTAGTTATAAGTAGGGTGATAAGTCCCCTAAGATGGGTGATAACTACAGTTACCCTACTTATAACCCCACTTATAACTACCCATGAACCTGCAAGTAGTTCTTAACTTAAGTGGAACGACCCGTAGTAATTAGGTCTACACGACGCCCTGACAGGGAACACCCGAACAAGCTCATGCTCCACATGAAGCTGAGCGCACGGCAAGGTCAGATAGCCGCCCGTAAGTTCCCCGACCTTCTCGTTGCACAAGGAGCATCTGACGAAGCCTCACCAGCACCAAGCAAGGGTCTAGAGAATAAGCACAGAGGCACACAGAAGTCAATACATGTCAGGAAAGAGACAGGAGACAACTCTGCAAAATCGTAGATGAATACGGTACTCCTACTATTTGTCTTGGTCAGCAAACAACAGCGCAGTATCAAGGGGACCGCCTGAAGATACTTTTCTGCTCCAAGTTGCCTTTTCCCTCCACATCCGTCCAGAAGAGAGGGTGCTCATGGACTCCTTCAGTAAGCGAACATCGGAACCGCAGTAGACAGAGGATCACAGGCTCTAATTATCTCATCCCCGCAGGAGACAAAGATTAGCAGAGTCAGTTGTACAGCTACTGCTGGCAGCCAAAAGACTACCAGCAAGTGCAACACCAGCAGCAGCGGTCATCATGGCGCTGGAAAGACTACTACATCAATAGTCGACTTACAACAGCAGCTATACAGACGGTTCATGCTCATGCTACTAGAAACAGTAGCGGAACAGTCGTCGTCCTCATGGCAGCTACCGCCGTCCTCTTAGCAGAAACCTTATGTTTAAAGCTGCTGTCGTGATTCATCTCAGGTGTAAGGCTTCAGGTTTGGGGTTTAGTGCCATGGACCCTAGACTCCAAACCCTATACCTGGGCTCTTGCCGGCTCCTTTCATAGTCACACTCTCCCCAGCTGTGGCCGCCTGGATTAGACCTGCGACCAGTGTGCAGGCTGGCAGCTGCAAAAGTCTTAGGTTTTTGTATTGAACACCTTTGTCCGCCCTTTAGGGTGAAGGGTTTAGGGCTTAGGTTGCTATTGGGGGTACTAAGGATTGCTACGGCATGGTTCCCAAGCCCCTTGAAATATATATGGTGCAGCGCTTCTAGGCCCCCCCCTCCCCCCCATGGTATCCCCGCTCCCCCCCCCTTGTGGTTCCCTGTGGTGTGGGTTCCCCCCTGTCCCTCCCACGAAGATGGGGATCATGATGTGCTCCTCCGGTCCCTAGACTCCTGAATGAAAGTCAGTCAAGCGCATGCTCGGGCTCACTTTTAACGCGCCCAACCGAAACTGAGGAAAAGGTCTGACACGTGCAAGCTATCGAGAGGGAGCAAGCACGTTCCTTGCAGTATCATCAAGACGGGGATTGGGATGGCGGGCATGTCTACAACTTGCGTCTCTTTTGCCGGATGACTGAGTGCGGTCTGTAAGACAGAGAGAGAGAGATATAGATATATGTATATATATGTATTATAGACATACATATATCCATCCATCCATCCATCCATACATACATACATACATACATACGTATATGGTTGCGCCCCGGTGCCCCCCCCCTCCCTTCGTGCTTGATGGTATCCCCTCATTTGGTCATCCCCCCTCCCCCCCTTCTGGAACGGATTGGGCCTTGATCTTCCGTGTGGAATGGCTGGGTGGTTTGATTCAGGCCTTCTTTTAACCCTCCCCCCGACTCCCGACACGACCCCGATGGCCAATCCTGCATTTTGTGGTCTAATTGGCTCCCCAAGTAATGATGCTGTCGCGCTTGACTGGTGACTGCAGTGTTTGAGATGGCCGGGCGCGGCTGGGTAAGGGGTATAAGGGTTCTTCACAACTTTGAAAGCGGCCTGGAATACTGAAAACATCTGAAAACCACAGACTACGACATGTGCATTCTGCCGCCCGCCTTTCATGAGCACGAACTCTATCTGCATGATCGGCAAGCCGCAGACCTCAAGCTGATTGCAGGGCACACAAAACGGAGCAAAACGCAAGACTTGGGCCTGGATCAGGGTGCTGAAGCTTTGCTCAGAGCAGGCAGCGCAACGCAAACAATGTCAGGGCATCAATCCCAAAACTCTGCAGAAGCTTCCGCCAAATCGGAAGGCATTGACCATACGTAGCATGTGCAAAGACATGTGCCGAAAGAGAGATTCGAAACAGAGCCTTGCACCAGAGATCGAGAGATGCGAAATGCCTACTGGGCACCTGAATACTCACCTCATCTCACCTCCATATTTGAAGCAACAATCGTACATTGCAAGCTTGACGACGACAAGATAGAAGCCATGCCCTCATATCGCCCTTGTCATACCCCTGTCATGCTCTTGTAGTAGCCTGTGTACAGCCCTACATAGCATCTTTCAGCTCTTCATGGGAGAAGCCAGGATGCCTGGACCAAGATCCAGAAACCGCTCCAGAAATCGGCACTGGAAAGGCTGACCACCTTCGAGCTTGAGCACATTCCCACGTCTCCAGAACCGTTCGAACAGGGACTCACAAGTGTAGCCGCAATCCAAAACAGGCCTCAATGGCAGTCCTCATCGAGCACAAGGCAAAGAAGACGTAGATGGTGTACGTCACGACCTTGCTGAAGTTCTGACCTGCCATGGCATCCTACAGATTCGAAGTGGCATGGACGGACGGAGGGTATCAGAGAAGCAACCTGCGAGAGAGATCGCCCCACGGATTGCAAGGCTATTGCAGGATTCATGGACTCTGCAATATTAGTGCTTGAAGACTTACAATGAAACAGCTCTCTTAAATCATTCTCTACCTGGTTCACTTACTTCCATACTTGGAGGTTCATAGCCAGTTATAAGCGGGTTCTAGGTCCCCTAGTATGGGCTATAATTGTAGCTACACTACTTAACCCCACTTACAACTACCCATGAACCTCCAAGTACCCAAGCACCTCGGGCTCCTGCATTCCACTGTTCTGTCCTGGCCTCGTTCCAGCTTCTTCAGCTCCTGCTGCCTAGAACTCACTGCATCGTCCAGCTGCTGTGCCATGGCCTCGAGATGAACTGGGATATAACAAGGCTCTCAAAATCCCTAGTGGATCTATGAAGGAATAGGATCACGGGCTTGCTGTTTATTGAGGCTCCTACGCTGGGTCCCTGGGCTTCCCGGCATCGCCACCGCTGCTGGAAAAGCTGGAGGCCAGGAGTGGCGCTTGCCGCGCCCGGGGCGGTTCTTCACCTGGGCTCCAGTTTGTTGAGTTTGGAGGCTTCGGGATTATATTATATCTTAATGTATCACAGTATGCTGCGATAAATATTTAAATAAATACATGTTATATATATATATATATAATATACACACATACTGGTATTCTAGAATGTATTGTAGTATACTGGGCGGCAATTCTTTCAGTTTGCCAGCTTAAGGCTGTGAGGCTGCCGCGGCTTCAGGCTTTCAGCGCTGCGGGCGCGGGCTCGGGTCGAAGTCAGGGCTACGGGCCTTGAGAGAGCAACGACACTAATTTTGTAGGGGCCTTAATGATTTCAGTAGGGTTTTGGGGTTCCTTTAAAGGGATCCTTAAAGGGTTCTGTAAGGGATTTATAATAGGGCTCTATATAGGGGCCTTAATATTTTCAATGGGGTTTATGGGCCCATTATATTATATAATTATAATAAGGAACCCCTAAAATAGTACAGGTAATTTTTAGGCCCCTATAGATTAGAGGCAATGGCGCATCACAGTGGAAGTAATGTTTGAAGTACTGAAGTGTTACTCAGCATAACTACTGAGTTATGAACGCTGCAAAAAGAAAAAAACAGTGCTCATGCTTCGATGGCCGGGTGGGCACTGCTAACAACACATTGCTGGCTGCGTAGCAGTAGCAGCTTGTCAACTTTTCGCAGGATTGATGGCATAGGAGCATGGACTTGCTGAATAGCATGAGCCCATTTCTGACTGTTCTGAAGTGATGCCAGGATTTCATGAAAGGCCTGCTGCTTGCAAGGCACCCGATATGGCCCGGGTGAGCTCGCGCTGCACCTCCGCCATCATTGTGGGTTTGGGGCAGCAGCATTATGTGAGTCTCTACACATTCTCAAATGCTTGGCATGCTGGATACGGGACACCTACCGGCAAACATCCGAAGACTTGGTTGTGTCGGCAACGGTCTGGCAAAATCGTGGGGAACAATCTCACAGCAAACTGCACAATGTAGATCCTCCCGCTGGTCTATCTATCCGGGACGATGATCCTCACATGTTGCAGGTATCATAGCGTTGCTTACAAAAGCTGCACCAACTTTACTGCAAATCAACATGGTGCCAGACGAGCAACAGCAATAAGTAAAAATAACAACAGAAGAAGCATTCATCGAATCTGCAGAAATAGGATGCGGGAATGAGGAGGACAATGCAAGGAAGAGGAGCAGGAACGTCAGCCGAAATGGGACAGGACGAGACACAGCCGCACCTCCCCGAGGTCATGGCCATTACCACTTGTCCAAGGCCAGTGTCCCAAGGCCAGCCGCACGGCGAACTGCGCAAGCAGCCAGAAAGGGCGACTTCCCAGGCAGTGTTTGTGAGGAGCAAAGCAGAATTGCTTTCGAAGCCACAGCTGCCCTGTATGTGCCCGAAAGCTATATCAACTACAAACGTCGACTGGGATTGTGAGAGAAGGAGCCTCAAAGTTACATGATTCGTCCCACCCAATACACAACTGATGTTGGGGTGAAGTGTTGAAGCCTCTCCAATTCCTCTCCCCTGTGTAACCAGAGAATCCCGAAACATCAAGATACCTAAGATCCAAAACCCACTATGCACCTCCACGTAAGCCAAGGGGCCGTGGAAAGGATACTGCCTCCCAACACTCTTCCGGCCAGGAGGATCAAGTCCACGAGGCGATTGCCTGAAAGCGGAACTGCGAATTGCCCGTCTTCGTGCCAGGGTCTGTCGGGCTGGGCGGCACCACGTTGAGTGGATCCAGGCTTCTTACATCTCAGCATCATATCCACAACCCCGTCCCTGAAGACCTCAAACCGGACGAAGATAGAAAAACCAGTGCCTGTTGGGCCTGTTGTCATGGTCCAGGCATGCCATTATGACAAGCGAAAGAGACTCACAACACCAACGGGGCCATCACCGTGAAGCTCTTCGTGAATATGCATGATCTTGCTCTTATTTCTATGCATCGTCGTCTCAGCCTTCTGGAGCCACACCAAACCCTTCTGCAGCTCCGATGCTGAAAGGCCGTGTCGCAGCCACGAAGAGCGAGACTACAGTAGTGACATCCAGAAGGATGAGCACGATGGTGGCCCAGATCTGCCAGGGCATGTCGAGCTTTCTGGCTTGGGGTCTCTCAGAAGGATCCTAGATGGTGTGCTCTTTTTCGAAGACAGCCTTCGCAACTCTACCAGAACCAGGACTCTGCACGATCGCACCCAGTCTGTCATTAACACCCGCTCAAGCGGTAACATGCTAAGTCCACCGTGTGTTGAGACGACAGGATTCTACCGAGGCAAGAGCTCTGCTCTTCTCCATGTCGTCCAAGGGCACGCAATGGCGCGGCTCGCAGAAAATGGGCTTAGGGTTGAGGGGTAGCACGGGCCCTTGCTCACTGGCCTCCAGCACACTATCGGGCGAGCTGGAGTCAGGCTAGTTGGATGGGAGACTCCAAGACGTAATCCGAGGGGATGTCTGGATGGCAGATCTGCAACGACATGGTTAAGCAGAGAACCTGGCACTGCGGCTCAAGCCAAAAGACAATCTTGTTCACGCAGCCTCCATGTCCTGTGAGCATCGACATGAACAAATGCCCTTCTGTCTGAGACCCAGCAAGTGAACCGGAAACCAAACCAACTCCCTGTCCCCTCGAAGACTTGAATCGCTGAGCATCGGAAAAACACTGAACCCCAAGCCAGCCTAAATCCTAAAGACAGGACACACGAACCTAAGTGCGAACCCAAAGACCCTGAAAGAGATCCTCCACCCTGAACCCAGAGGGCCACACGGCTGTCCAATGTATCGGGTCAGGTTCTCCGTGTCGATGACGGCGGGGCCCTGATCGGCAAAGACTTGCGATTGCAAGCTTTGCCGTCTCAACCCCTAAACCCCTAAACTCCTACTAAGCCCTAAACCCCCTAAACCCTAAACTCATGCTTAACCCCGACCCTGAGGAGAGCGAACCTTTTGGCCTTCAGAGCTTGGTTTCGAGGCTTCGGTTCAAGTTCCCGACAGCGCTCGGAAAGTACTGGAGCCCAACCGAACCGAGAACTCCTGATTCTTGTCCGCAAGCTTGGGAAGAAGCCCACAGAAACCCCGATAAAAGTCCTGGCCTGCTCGTTGGAGGGGTTCGCCTTAGAAGGGCGCGAGCGTGAAGGGCGGAGGGCCCAGGTCACGGCTCCAGGGTGTGGACGGCTGGAGGGTTGATGCAATCCGGAAGGACCGGTCGGAAGCATGTCAGCACAATCATCCGGAAAAGCAACGATGCGACTCACCTCTTCCGCATCATCACTGCAGTGCCATGTTGGGCAGAAAAGGGGCCTGGCCTTCTGCTGCCTTACGAGGTCAAGCGCCACCTGGTCGGGTCATGGTCCAAAACAGGCCCTGACACCTCTACTTTTCGTTTCGTGCTCACAGGCACACATGCATGGCTTGCTGATGACACCATCTCTACACAGGCGACGATTCGAGGCCAAAGTGCTCCAAAAAACCTACAAGTCAGCAGTTGAAAGTGACCTCGCCCTTCCCTTCCTTGTCTGCCCCTCAACGCACATGCCTCAAGGCTACCCCGAGATCGGCGGCCGTGTCGCCTTGCGGCTGACCTTTTCCAGCAGCTGTCGTAAGTTGCGCACGCCAGCCTCTGGAAGCATCACTCACCAAAAGCAGCAGGTAACCCGGTGTGCGCAGCTCCCTGTGTTGGTTCCACTGTTGTCGCAAGTACATAACCTTGCCGTGCTATTAAACAGGGAAGATTTTCGGAAGACTCCGCGGGCGTTCTTTGCCGAAGCCTCACGGGCATAGTCCTTGATCATCTTGTGGAGAGCATCCTCCTGACCATGTACCGCACCAAAGCCAACCGACAAGTCACATCTACATCTTATGGACCCAGTCCATCCATCCATACACATACATCCATCTCTCCGTCGAATCATCCATCCATCTATCCATTCATCCATCTATCCGTCCACTTAGCTACCTATCTAACCATCTATCTACCTGTCTACCTGAATCTGTCCATCTTTGGGTCGGTCGGTCGGCCGGCCGGCCTCCCTGCCTAAGCACCTATCACAATTCTCCTGCTGATTGATGAGCTCGTCAATGTTTAATCGTTCACTCTTCGAACAAATTTGTTAACTCGTGGAGGCAGTTTCAGTCAGTCAGTCAGTAGTGAGCCAGTCAGTCAATCAGTCAGTCACTCATTATTTCGTTCATTCGCTCACTTCACTCGTTCATTCATTCGTTCAGTCCTTCGATCCTTTCTTGATTCATTAATCCATGCATCCACTGATTTAATAATTCATTCATTCATTCATTCATTCATTCATTCATTCAGTCAGTCAGTCAGTCAGTCAGTCAGTCAGTCAGTCAGTCAGTCAGTCAGTCAGTCAGTCAGTCATATGTTCGTTCATGCACTCATTCACTCTTTCTGTGTTTCCATTCATCTTGTTCATTTCTTTCATGTCATCTCATGTTATTTCATTTCATGTCACGCCATTTCAGTCAGTGAATCAGTCCGTCCGTCTGTCAGGCAAGTCATTCATGATTGAATCATCCGTTATGTGCATTCATTCTTTGCGTCGTTCTGTCGTTCTTTCTTATTTCGCAATTGCGTTATTCAGTCCCTGAGTCTTTCATTCATTCATTCATTCATTCATGCATTCATTCATCGGGTTATTAATTCATTAATTCGTTCGCTCATCCGTTCGTCCACGATTCACTCACTCATACAGTCATACTTTCAGACGCTCATGCATTCGCGCGTTGGCATACATAGGTACATATTTTACCTAGCTGCCTCTTTGACTTGCCTCGATCCCTATACCCGGACAGAGATGCACGGAGGGAGATCCCATGAGCAGAAGTATTCTTATTAGGGGACTTATAACCCTACTTATGACTACCCATGAACCTCCAAGTAGTTCTTGTATCCTCTAGTCTCAAGACGCCTACAGCTGAGACCTGAATCCTTGCCGCACTAGGCTCTGCAAAAAAGCAGAAGCACAAAACTTCTGTGTTGCCTGCATTTGGATCCGCTCCGTACCGACACCGCTCTGCTCCTGCATTCGGGCACAACGATCGGGTTTCGGATGTCAGGTGCAGGAGGTTGAGGATTCTGGTGCTCCACTCGGGCTTGCAATGCACGAGTCCCGACGCTGGAGCCTTTGGGGCTTTAATGATGTGATGACAACAGGACAGTTGCGCAAGGAGAAATGTAAGCACTTCTCCACGAGCGTATGCAGTACAACTGTACAACCTCTTATGATACAGCTAGTTTAGTACACTCAAGCATGACAGGCTGCTGTAGATCGATCGACCGATCTATCGGTAGAGAGCGACTTCACTCTTATATTCTAGTAGTTTCTTAACACCAGGACCCGAGCCTGCCTCCCTCGCGACACCCCGAAGTTCAATGCACCATCAATGTCAAGAACGTATGGCGAAGCCGGGTCTCCCGCCTCCGTCTGGGGGATCAAGTACCTGATGGGTTCAAGTTTTGGCGGTGACGACAGGCAAGTGTGCTAAGCCCACTGACCTTGGGTTTAGGCTTTAGGGTGTAGGGCTTAACCCTAAACCCTAAAGTGCGCATTGGGGTAGGTCACTTGTTGGCAATCACAAGCTTCTCCTCAAACACGTAGCCGGCAATTCGAATGACTTCCATCCGATCCTTCACGATGCGAGATACACCGTGTGTGATGCAAAACCTATATATATATATATA